GATAGTGGTCGTCTTGAAGTAGGACTTCAGCTTTACCTTTATAAAACATGGGCTTTCTGATTGTATAAACACGTCTCTAGAGGGATCTGCACTTGCTTCACTCCCTGAGATGTGTGAGTTGTGCATATGGATAAGCAGAAAATATTGAAAACAATTCCCGATTTATTATTGTAATATGTAAAATGACACTTTTTAAAAAAAAAACTCCTTAATCATGTGACTGGTAGTATAAGGGAAAAAGAAATCACTGCTTCATTTTAGCAATTATTCCCCTTATTCAAGTGATTGTCATCACTGTTCACTGCTATATGTTGCATAGTTTTCAGACTGGCTAGGTCTGTGTTGTCTGTGGGTAGGCTCAGAGTTGGTGCCATCTGCACCAAGCTCCAATCAGTGGCTGTAGCAAAAAATAAAGCAGCTTACAACTTGCACAGCTGCTAACTGAACTTTCAGAGGCTGCAGCTGACAGTGACCGAGACCACTCAAATAAGATGGACCAGCTAGGCACTGCATCTTCAAACACTATTAGAAGGTATAGTATGATGTGAGAGAGAGAGAGATCAAGAGTAGGGCAGTCAGGAGTTCTGAGGAAGATAAAAGTTGATTTGTATTCTAGCAGTTATTTTAGAACTATTTGGTAATGTTATGCATACAAGGATGCAGTAGAAGTGTCCGCTGAAAGATAATCAATAATATGTAAGACTTCAAGGAGATTTTATAAATGTAAATTAATAAATCCCTGCATTGAAAATAACGTGTATTAGAACTGTGTTTAAAAGCTACTCCTTAAAGCTGCTTGAACAAATTGCTGATACAAATGAAGATGAAGTAAAGTTAACTAGACTTCAGGGATTTGCCCTTCCATTCTGAGCTTTCCAGAATAATCCGGGGGATGCAGAGAGTGGTGACTCAGTTATATTTTCATGTGTTAATTTGGATGAAGGTTTATGTGGCTTTTTAAATATTTTGACACACAAGTACAGTTTGAGGCTAGTGTGATGTACATGGACTAGTTGATGGGATGAGGGGACACAGAGAATGGTGGTCAGAGTTGGGTGAGGAGGTACGTTTGTGTATGTTGGAATTGGAGGTGGGGAAAGTAGAGACCTGGCATCACTGGGTCGGTACATATAAGGATGAATGATGGCATGTGGTTAGTTCTGGGGCTTGTGTGTCCAGTGGTTTTGTTGGTAAGAGGACTGCGGAGTATGGGAGTGAGCGTTGGGCCATCAAGGCTAAGGCTGGGGATAGTGGGCATGGCGCTGGAGTGATAGGGAGGATAGGTGTGGAGTTGACATGACTGGAGTGAGGGGATTTTGTGGGGCTGGTATGATACAGATGCCCTGTGAGGCCACTGAAATAGGGGAAGATAGGCATGGGTGTGATGGTGATGGGTTTTCTTGCCTGGTGTGACAAATGGATGGGAAAGCAGGAGGCCGCTGTGATGAGGAAAGTTGGATGGAGGGAGGGCTGTGGCTGGTATGTTGGAATTGGGGGGTGTTTGACACACAATGGCCCGGTGTGAGGTGTAGGCTGCTGAAAAAATGCTAGAATATCAGAGAAATCCTCAATTTTAATTCCTTTAAAGCAATCTAATATAAATATGGAATTTTGATTATAAATAGACACTGAAAGCAGTTCTATAAAGATGCTGTTTATCAGTATGAGTATACTGAGCTTATACTTGTAGATTACCTGAGGCATTTTGAGTGGAAGGAGTCCCCTGAGTTCCGTGAGATGAGTTTTTGTTTTGCACTGTACGCTTTGTTGTGAATATATGTTCATTTGCCTTTTTTAACTTGTTAATTGAACAATACATAGACTTAATGGAGAGAAAGTATAACTGCTAAGCTGGCACAGAGACATGGAAAATATCCCCTATATCCCTTTCTTTAAAAGTTTTATGAAATATTTAAACTTTTCCTGCTTTTCTTTTCTCTTTGGTTTAATTAAGTGTGGCTTGTATCACCAAAGTGTTAAAACTATATCTAGTGGAACATTGTTCTTTTTAGCCTGACAAGCTTTAAAATGTAAGGCTCAGCTGCCAATTAAGTCGGGGGGAAGCGCTCATGAATATTGAGAATTTGGATCTATAAACTTGAAATTAATAAATGATCCAATTTACACTTCAGGTATTCAGAAATCATTTAGAAAAATTTAGTTAATTATGTATGAAATGGGTGTAATGCATTCCTTGGTAGGTTTGAGGGCCAGGAAATAAGAGCTATGTGAACATTTTGTACATACGTTGGTATGCATCAGAGGGTTAGGTTACATGAAAGGGAAGATGTGGGTAGGACTGTGGAGAGTAAGGGAAATTCCAGAGCACAGTGGAGGGGCACATTCCTTCCAGAATAGTGCCCGGCGTTTCGATTGACAAATGTAGTGAATGCTCTGGCGTGACCCTGGGACATCACAACAATGAATTGTGGGGTAGGGTGGGGAAGGAACTCTAAAAGCAGAGTTCTCTCATTAACATTGCATCATGACAGGCTAGTGATTTGTGAGAATTTGTTTTTTTTCTCCCCCCCCTTGGCTGTTATGCAAGTGTTAATTCCAGTGGGGTGCAGTTCCACGGGGATCAACTCGCAGCCTGGAGTGCTGCCTCCCAGGGATTAACTTCCAGTTGCATGTCAATTCCCCATTGGGGCCTTGTTCCACAGGGATCGGGTGCTTTCACTAAATGTCATGGTATTGTCCAAGTAGCCGTTACTTAGAATTGTGAATGTCCCATACTTCCTTGAATGTTTAACTGCTATGGGGAGAGAAATTATCAGTGCTCAGGGTGCATTTGCCATCTTGATGAGTATAGATTGGTGAATCCTTCTTAATAGCATGAACATTGCTGACTTCTCCTTTCCTAACATAGGGACATGGAGGAGGACCATTATAATTAATTTCCTTAATCCAGTCCTGACCCAACTACAGCAGACTCATTCTCTCAGGTTCACACCTGGGATGATTCAGTGACCTACTGAGCTATTGTGGAATACATAAATTTTGAGAAAAAGCCCATGGAGGCATTTCGTAAATGCATCCCTAAGGACATTTGTGAGGAAAGCAGAGCTGAATTGGTAAATTCGGTTAAATGATAGGTCAATAGAGATGCAGTGGCAGACATTTTAAGGTGATACTTCAGAATATATGGAATAGATACATTTCAACAAATAAGGAAAGGAAAGCTGTATTATGAGAGAATATGAACAAGTCATGTTTAGTTTGTCTTATTGTTGAAATATTGTTTTTAGAAACTTTGAAGAGGACTCTGTCATAGCGAAAGTTAATCTGATTTGGGTTAATTATGTAAATAACTACATTCAGAGGGAGAAACAGGTGGTAATAGGTGTGGACTAAGATGTGTGAATAGGTACAGACATTTCTGCTATAATGTGTATTTCATTAACGTGAATTGGCTGTAACACGATTTGAATAGTGGACGCTGTTTGGATAACACAAACTTTCTGCTGTACAGGCATATTGATTTTTCTGTAACAATTTTCATATAATGTGATTTTCTATGGTGATTTTTTATGGCACGAGGTCACAGAAGAATGCAACTATCGTGTTAAAGGAGAACTACCTGTAGGCAATATGTCTGTCCACAAGGGAAAGGTTTCACCAGCAAGCTCAGAGCTGAATCGACACTGGGTGCTGAGTAGGGTTAGGAGCTATGAATTTAACATGTTTCATTTTCAGAATGAATCTGGAATGAGTGAAGATTGGCCTCTGATCTCTAGCCTGCTCCTTCTCCAAACGGCTGTTAGAAGTTTCGCAAAATCAAAGAAGTTATAAAGAACGTTTTGCAAAACACTGGTTCAGTCTCGGCTAAAGCATCATATCCATTCAGTATTCCCACATTTGGAAGATCTTTAGAGAGGGTGCGGATAAGTTTGATATAATTATTGAGGAACTAATGTAACGAGGATAGCTTAGAGATGCTGAAGTTTGCTAAAGAAGATTAAGTGATGATTTGGTACAGGTGGTCAGAATTATGAGGGATCGAGACAGTAGGTGGCACAAAACTGTCCTAGTGGCAAAAGAATGGAGAACCAGAGACACACATTTAAGGTGAATGGCAAAATGATCAGAAGCGACATTTGGTAAACCCTTTCCTTACACAGTTAAGTGGTTAGGTTTTGGAACTGGAATGCAAATCCTGAGAACTGGAGGCAGGTTCAGTCGTTGCAGTCAAATGAAATTGAATAAGGAACCGAGCAGAGAAAATTTGTAAAGTTGAGTTGCTCTTGCAGAGACTAGGTACAGACTCATTAGGTCAAATGATCTCTTTCTGTGCTGTAACCTGAATATGATTCCATGAAGCTAGAGAATGGGATGAGATGACTCGTGGAGGAAAGAAATAATGTTGGTTTATTGGACCCAACAGTTTCAGTGCTAGAACACCGTTTGATTGTAACTCAGGTGGACTGCAGCAAATTTTCAAAATCTACAACCAGTTTCCATCAGACTTTTAGATTTTTAGATGTGGGATCATTTTATATCAATTTCAGTATGTCTGGGATGTAACCCACATTATTGCCTAGATTTAACATTGGGACTGCATGAATGGTTCTCCATTTGTTGTGAGTCTTGTGTTCTTGTATCTGCTGAAGATTGTTATTTGGCTTTCAATGGAAGGAGAGGAAATGCAACAGGTGCTGCTAGTTCTGTTGCATGTGACTGAATGTAATATCAATAAGGTCCTCAGTCAGTGTGCATTGACTTCCTGTAAAAGGGAATGAGGATCACACATCTGGAAATGTAATTCTGAAAATAACTTGGGCTCTTCTGCCTTCCACAAATGTCAATGATTTTTAGTCACTTCCCTGCACTATTTTTAATTGGAGATCTGTTGGACCAGTACAGTGAAGTTGCATGACTGGCTTAAGTATGCTTTGGCCCATCTGGAGCTGGTCACTGTTAGATTTGTTATTATTGTTCTAAGAATTTTAATTCCTAATTTTTTTTACTTTTCTCTCTCTATTTTCTTTTCTCCCTTACAGATTGGTAGATCCAGCGGCTCATTTCTCCTGGGTAGAGAGCTGTTGCCATTCCACCATGTCACAGAACACTCAGTCCAGTGACCTGCTTAACCAGGATTGGTTCAAGCAGCTCTTTGAATTAGCACAGTGAGTGATTAATTACTCTATTACACAAATGACTTAGAGCAAAGGATGTTGTGTGCTTACATCAAACATATTGACATACATCTAGCTGGATTATGGTGATTCTCGGTGCATCAGACTATAAGACGCAGAAACAGACGTAGGTCGTTTGACTGATCGAGTCTGCTGGACCTTTCAATGAGATCATGGCTGATCTGAGTCCTCATTCCGCTTCCCTGTTTTAATTCCATAACCCTTGATTCCTTTGTTTAACAATCTGTCTTTCTTAGCCTTATTGACTCGGCCTCTACAGCCCTCTGCTGTAAATCGTTCCACAGATTAGCTACTCTCAGAAGAAATGCTGCCTCATCTCTGTCTTAAATGGGTGACTCCTTACTCTGAAATTATGTCCTCTGATCCTAGACCCTCCCATGAGGGGAAACAGCCTCTTTGCATCCCCCTGAGTATCTTGTGTTTCAATTAGGTCACCTCTCATACTTCTAAGTTTCGGTAAGTACAAGTTAAACCTACCTCTCCTCAAAAGAAAATCTCCCCTGTCCTACAATTCACATAGTGAACCTTCTCTGGACTGTCTCCCATGGCAATGCCTCCCCTTAGGTAAGGAGACCCAAAACTGTTCAGTGTTCCACATGCGTGGTCTGACTAATGCCTTGTATAGTTTGAGCAATACTTTGCTATTTTGATATAACAGCAAAATACTGCATATGTTGGAAATTTGAAACAAAAATAGTGCTGGAAAAACTTAGTAGATCTGGCACCATGTGTGGAGACAGAAATAGAGTGAATCTTTCAAGTCCAACATGGTATCTTTTCCCTATTTTAGTATTTTGCTCCCTTTGAAATAAAGGCCAACAATCCATTTACCTTCCCTTTTACCTGCTGAACTTGAGTGCTAGATATTTGTGGTTCGTACATGACCACTAAATCCCGCTGTGCTGCAGCTTAATGCAGTCTTTGTCCATTTAATAACATACAGCTTCCCTATTCTTCCTTCGAGTGCATAACCTCACATTCCCCACATTTTGTTCCATCTAAATTTTTGCCCACTCACTTAACCTGTCTATATCCCTCTATTGACTCTTTGTGACATCCTCATTGCTTGCCACTTATTTTTGTCATCCACAATCTTGAGAATAGTATGTTCCCTGTGGCACACTGCTAGTTACAGGTTGCCATACTGAAAATACCCACTTTATCCCAACTTTCTCTTATTAGTTAGCCAATCCCCTCTCCATGCTAATATACTGCCTCCAACACCTTGGGTGCTTATCATATTAAGGAGCCTTATGCCATAGTATCTTATCAAACGCCTTTTGGAAATCCAAATTTAATATGTCTTCTGCTTCCCCTTTATCTATCTGTCCTGTTACCTTCTCAAAGAGCTCTACAAGCTTCCTTCTTCTTTTCCTTCTTTCTGAAACGTGCTGACTCTATTCCATTATGTTATGTATTTTCAAATGCTCTGCTGTTTCATTCTTTATTATAAACTCTGATGTTTTCCCAGCGAGCTGTTAAGCTAACTGGCCTGAAAATACTTGTTTTTTTTTATTCTCTTTTGAATACAGTTAAGGTTTACAGTGACAGCCCTCCAGGTTCAGAGAGTGAGAACTGTTTACAGTGACTGGCCTCCAGGCAGTGTCTTCAGCTCAGTGTGTAATGTTTAACTACTGTACATTAGATGAGGGAATCTGTGTATTGGTAAATGAAATAATTGTTAGAATAAAGAAATGTTAAATTGGGCATAAAAGAAAAATGTAGCATTTTACTTTCTGTAAGTCTGTAGTGGCTCCTCCATGTGGGGCCAGGTTCTGAGGGGATAAATGTTGCCTGTGAGACGCGGTCTAACTGGTGAGGATTGCTAGGAGCTTTCTGCTATAGATCTCGGTTAGCAGTGTGACAACGGGAGAGACCACATGTTTGGAAGGTTTTGACTAGCTTCCAGTCTGAGAGGGCGAGAAGATGCACCAACATGGCACCAATTCATTTGTGTAGTGTACTGTGTAAGTAGTGTTATAATGAATCTTGCAATGCTGAGTGAGATTTCTGATCCTAATTAGTTACCAATGTTAAAGTGAAACAGTGCGAAACGGTTACTTTAAAAACAGACCACCAGAAAATGCCAGAGAAAGGCCTTATTCTTCTTGCAGTCTGGCCTTTCTTTCAGTCTCTCAGCTAAGTTCCATCTTATTGCAAAATGCTGGAATAATTTTAGATTTTGGAGAATTCCTTTGATCAAAGTCATAAATTTATTTTTACATTTGGTCATTCAGCCCATCCCCAAGTATGATTAATGGGCAGTAGTTTGGGAAAGGAGATAGATGTGCTTGACTGCCACTGCTGTTCCTAGCTTCAGCATATTTGAATAATGTAGTCTGTGCTTCTCTGAGAATGTAATGTTCTACATGCCACTTGTTTGGATTTTGCAGTTCTGCCACCAGTTGGATGGATCTGAGATCAGGGATGGAATTTACCAGTTGCATCCATGGCAAATCGACATCAATTAGGAATGCCATGGCAAGGAGCCTACATCATAGCAGAGACCTGTGGTCATAACCACCAAGTAAATTGGCTGTTTATTCAGAATTCCTGCAATCCTTAGATTTTCAGCTATTCCATGAATGTAAGGCTAAGTGTGACTGCAGTTGCCCCATTTCAAAATCCCTTTCCTTTGTAACAGAAGCAAGTCTCTCCTTCTGGCAAGTCGGGGCATGTAAACCTTTCCATCTCATTCTCGTGTGTTGCTGTGCACTGTTATCTCTTACTGAGTAGGTTTTACTTCTGATCCCTGGCAAAATTTGATAGAACCAGATTGTTGAAATTAAATGCAAGTCTATATGCTAGATCTTCACTATATAACAGTGGAAGTGCACCTGGGAATGCATTACTCTACTATATTAGCAATTTAAAACATTACTGGATAATTTTGATATTGCACATCATTGGTCTGACTTTTTTAAAAGAAAGTAAACTACTTCATATCCTTGTTATCTGTTTAACCTCTTCTCCAGGTATTGTCAGGCTAATCCAGAATAATTGAATTATCTTATTTAACCTTGAGCTGCACTTTTGATTCAATGTTCTGTCTGCCATAAATGCTAGTGACTTCCACTAGCATAACGACTGCCTCAGACCCTGCTTTACCCTTTCCGTTGCAAAACATTTGCTGTTCAAATCTCAGTTTGTCCAAAACTCAGCCACTTATATCCTTTCCCCTACAATCTAAGGCTCTCCTCCTTGAGCCATCCCTCCAGCCACTCATTCATCTGTTCTATCCTTCTCAGTGTGGCACTGAGAGTAACCCTGAGCTTGCTTGCTTAGAAGTCCTGATTTTCACCTTCTTCCCTAACTCCCTGCAGTCTGTTTGAAAAATCTTGGTTCTCTCACTTCCTATGTGTCTGGTCTCTGATCATGATCTCTGGGTGTTTTCCATAGGCGAGAAAGAGTTTGCAAGTGAGGTAGACCCACAAAGAATTCCCTCACTACCCTGCTTAATGCAATTCTTCAATTTGGTGGTCACCTATTCGGTTTGCTCAAACTGCAGGGTGACCATCTCCTGAAACCTGCTATCCATGAGCCTCTCAGCATTGTCAATGTAGCATTGTGCCCCCTGCTGCCACTCAAGCTCCAAAATCCAAAGCTCAAGGTGCTCCAGCCAGAGGCACCTCCTTGTACCCGTGGTCAGTCAGACTGCTAGGAATATCTAGAATTTCTTGCATGGTGCAGGTGTGAGTTTCCCAGACATTCCTTAACTCAATAGATAGTTGGACCCTTGCATTTATTTTACCCTTACTGACTTCCAAACCCACAACCACTTACATATAGAAGGGCAGCCAGTGCATGGGAACACCAGGTTCCCCTCCAAGCTACACTGAATCCTGACTTGGAAATATATCACTGTTCCTTAACTGTCGTTGGGTCAAAATCCTGAAATTCCCTCCCTAAAGGCATTGTGGACTACAACAGTTCAAGAAGGCAGCTCACCACCACCTTCTCAAGGGCAACCAGGGACAGGCAATAAATGCCAGTCAGCCAGAGGCACGCATGTCCCATGAATGAAGAAAAATGTATAGGCTAGAAAAAGCTTGTCTTTGTTTATGTCTGTCAAACAACCAGATTCTCTCAACTCTATTAAACAAAGAAATTTAATTTTGAAGTTATAAGATACTCATGATGTAAAAGCTTTAATGTGTAGTTACTGTTTTAAGATAAATCTATATCCAGTCATAAAAAACGAGGGAATTTACCCACCTGATCTCCTGTGATTCATGCCTTGATTTTGTTCAAGCACTTCTGCTTGTCAGGCATGCCGGTGCGTCAGCTGGTGGCACTTCTCCACACTCGTGACTCCTTTTAACCTTGCCTCTGCTGCTCCTGTCCCACATGGTTCCTCTGCTGGTTTGTGTGCTACTGAGATACTTTCCTCTTGCTGCTTCTTTTAATGCTTCTGACATTTTTAATAATGGTTTCCAAGATTTCCCTATGCCAGATGCTACGCTAACTGGCCTGTAGTTTCCCACTTTCTGTCTATCACCTTTTACAAATATTTGCTTCTTTCCAATCTCGGGAGTTTCTGAAAATTAAATCCACTGCATCAACTGTCTTAGTAGCCACTTCTTTCAAGACCCTAACCTGAAGTCCATCAGGTTTTTGGGTGCTGTCAGTCTGCAGCTCCAACATTTTACATAGAATCACTTAATTCCCTGATGAATAAGTTTTCATAAGTTTCTCCCTCCCGTTTCCTGACATTGCTGCTCCTGAGATATTACTCTTATCACCTGTAATGAAGACAATTGCAAAATGCTTGTCCAGCTCAACTATTGTCTCTTTGTTCCATTATCAGTTCTCTAGGCTCATTTGATAGTTAACTGTTTTCTTTTATAAATATCTATAGAAATTCCTATCTGCTTTTATTTTTCTTCGTTTACTCTTGGGCTATAATTTTCCCTGTTCATTAATATTTTAAAGATTCTGTGTCTATCTTGTATATTCTGCCCAGTATTCGG